AACTGACATCTTTGGAAATTAAGTTGGGATGAAATGCTCAAACACATATACAAATAAGGGATAGCCATCCATGTAAAACTAATACTAACCGACAGGGACCAGCTGAAGGCCAAAGGGGCATACAAAGTGTACTATAAGGCAGCATTGGTAGGAGCATGAACTGCCGTCAACTCTCCACATCAGGGATGCAGGCTTCCCTGGGCTGCTCCTCAGAGTCAGCACAGCAGCTGCACCTGCTCCTTCAGAGGAACTGTAGCAATGCCAGAGAGAGGGAACACAAAGCCAGTATCCTCCATATACCCTCCAAACATTGAGCCCCACTACATGCCATGGACCACTCAGTCAGAAACTGACTCTCTCTCTCTGCTAGTAAACCACTTTAATTCTCCAACGAAAGTATACTTAGTGGGGAGTATGGGAGCTTCCAAGGGCTACTCTCAACCATTCTCCACCAATCGGGCTGGTGATTCAACACAAAGACGCAAGGATGTGTTTCTGCAAGGCTCAGGATTACCTGGACGTTATGGATGGCCCCAGGAATGAACCAGGGCTAGCTCGATGACAGGCATGTGCCTTAACCCCTGTACTATCTCTCTGGCCCTCAAAAAAATATCTTAAAACAATTTCTGGATCATTTGCTTATTCTTGTTTGTTGATTGTAGGGAACACTATGATATGAAACCAATCCTTGCTGAAGTACCTGACTGGCAGATACCAGACCTTACTTAAAAATAATTTATTTTCATCATCATCATCACCATCATCATTGTGCTCTATTTACATGTCTACTGTTTCTTTTTATCAGTTTGATTGAACTACTCCAGGGCTGGAAATAAGTATCACTACTCATGTTTGGGTTTTGTTGGATTTTTTTTTTCACATTCAGGATGGTGGAATTTTTTTTTCACATTCAGGATGGTGATAAAGTGTTGATAAAGTGTTCAATCAGTATTTCTTGAATGAATGAAGCCACACATCGACATATTGTTCAGAGTCAAAGAATTCATAGTTCTGATGAACAGAAAGTCTTCTCCAGGACCAAATGATACAAGACACTAACCCTTACTGACTACTCAAACTTGCCAGGTATTTTCTGAGCTCTTTTCTTATACCGCAATTAAGTCTCGAACCAAATTTAGATGAGCCAGCAGGAGGGGCTAAGTACCTTTCCCACGGGTGATATAGTACAGAACAAGGCCATGCCAGAGTTCAACCCAGGAGCCCAGCTAGGGAGCCTGGCTCAAAAGTGACTCCCCTAAGCTACCTCACCATTCTTTCCCAAAGAGAAGCTCCTCTGCTCCGAAAAAAAAAATGTTCCTCTTCCACTTGCTTTTCACCCACTAATACCTGGAAAGATCCAACGGGCAGCAGGGATGATTTTAGCAAAACGATCCTCAACTCTGGTGGCCTGGGCAGGCAAATCAGACTTTGGGGAACTTCCTGCTTAACTTCACCTTGTCTAAATATAACCAACTAAAAATAACCTGAAAGGGAAGGGAAGTGTCTCTGAACCGCAGAAGGCTGCAGAGGACATGAGGTTCAGGAATGTTCCCGGCTTTTCTGAATGCCACGAGGCTTTTCAACATCAGCAAGTTACATATTGTGATGAGAAAACAAAGTTTCCAATTATTGAAATTCCATCGTGTATTTAATGATGCAATTATCTTACTGCATTAACAAGTGCTCGGGGAGAGCAGCAGTTGCTAAGATTTTGACAATGCTAAAGTGCAGAACACATAACATTTCCCTGAGCTGATGACTTCTCAGGAGCCTGTCCATTCTTCTGGGATTATGAAAAGGATCCTTTTTTTTGAACTGTTTCATTCAGAAATCCAAAATGAATCCGGTCCCCTAACTCTTTGTCACGCCAGTTTTTAAGTATGACCTCTCTCCACAGCATGCATACTTACTTATACGTCAAAGAAAAATGGTTGCAAATTCACATTTTTTTTGTTTTCATTATTCATTCTAGGCTCTCTCCTCATTTGAAATTTAAATAAATATCATGTAAATATGAATTTTAAAAGCAGTTATCCAAATGACATATTTTCAGTGATTCAACACAAACGCAAATTCTTGTTCACTTGCTTAATAAAGGATCTTATCCCAAAGGGTTAAGTAGCAGATTGTAAAATCCAGAGTATTTCATCACAACATAGGGATTCTATGATATTCTTATGCGCATGTGTGTCACAGTTTCCTGGAAAAATATAAAATGTAATCATGCAGAATTAAATATTCCATACATTTTTGATTCATCGAGGAACACTCAACCTACACTCCAAAACAGGCAACCACACTTTAAGTTTAGAGGAGTAAAGAGTCAATCAAATTTCTTGTTTCTAAAAGCATTATGAATAATAGGTCTTTTCACTTAGGGCTTTTCATCTAAGAATTACCAGGCTCTTTAGACATACAGGATAATTAATCCATACACTCTGCTACTTCCCCATCGAAAGGGAACCCTCCTTCCTGCTAATTACTCATAGAGGAACTGTACCTGCATTTTTCTCAAGCTTAATTTGGCCTCGAGCTATCAGATCTGATGTTCTCATTTTTGAGCATGAATAAAGTCACAGTCATACAAGAAAACTGTCCCCAACCAAATAAGATGTAAGACCAGCAACCCTGGAGCACCCCTGCCTGATACTTGAGTCCCAATCTGTGATCTTTTAGCTGGAAGACAAAGCTTTCCTGGGTTTCCCATTTCTAAAATCTGGGATGAGAGCCTCGTCCACAGGGTTGTCAGAAATGAGTGCCTCCACATAAATCTCCGAGAGCACAGTCTTAACAGTATTAGCTATGGTATACCCCTAGCTATCCATACGGGGTTACTGTAACCTAGTGGAATGCTTGAGGCTAATCTTCCCATTCCAGAGGCAAAGCAATTGAGACCCAAAAGGTGATTGTGATAGAAATCCTGGAACCTAGTCTAGTATTCTTCCATCATGCCACTTCATAGCTAGGAAATGAGAATGACTCAACGGCCTAGACACATTCCTGCTGTTTATGTGCTTGCTTGCTTGTTTGTTTGTGCAGAGGGAGGGAAGAAGAGAGGAGGGTGGGTGTTTCTACGAAGCAGAGGGAGCATTCGGTTGCCAAGACTTACTTGTCTTGCATAGTAAAAGAAACCCAGATCAGCAGAAGACACATCAACAAGACTGCCTTAATCACGATTTCTGCTAACTACGAAATGAAAGTTAATTTCATGCCTTGCATTCACAGACAAAAAGGTTCAGAGCTGTTTAAATTCTCTTCAGCCCAATGACAGTTAGTAAACAGGAGGCTTCGTGTTCTAATGCTTGAAATCACCCTTCCTATCGCAATATATTATTTATGCACTCAGCTTAAAATAAACAGCAACTCTGAAGTAGGTGAGTGGTCTCATTTAGTATGAACTTCTTTTTTTCTTCGCTCTGACAGTTACTTTAAAACATCGGTAAACAACCTTAATTCACTTCTAACGAATTAGCAGGCTACTGCTGTGTCTCCAGGAGGAAAGCAGATTGTATTATTAACCAAAACAACTTTCTCCCTGTCAATCATATGCACTGCACAGAGAGATGTGGGCTTGGCTGTCTCGTTATTCACACCAATTCAGGGGCGCACGAGATTCCAGAAGATTTCTTCGAAGTCATTCTCTTCCATACCTTGGATTAGATCTCTTGACTCTGAAATGCAGAATGGGGCCTGGAGAAGGTAGATTCTCAGTGTTGCTTGAGAAGAAAGATATAAAGAAGTGAGAGAGCTTGCCCAGAGGGGTACAGAGTTTAGAAGTCTGGGTCTATGAGTTCTATTTGTTCAGGGAGTTGAAACTGAGCAAGAGACTGTTCTACAGGGATTGGGGAAGTACAACCTAATACTCGAGAAGGAAGACTTACTCCTTATAAGTATGGGCAGTGTAACTAGAACCCAAGGCAGGAGAACACATACAGGTGGATTTGTTTTCAACCCAATGAAGCATTGGAAAGAGTAGCCTCCCAGACATTCCTCCTCGAGAGCTTAATGGACATCTGTGAGCTAGAACTCGTAGAACTAAGAAATAGGGCTAGCTGACACATGTACAGAGCTTTCCAGACATCAGATCCTATAGCCTTCCATGCTCAAAATACTCATTTAAAGGCTTAAACAAGTAGCTGGACCCCTTTTTAAATGTTTCTATAAGTTAGGAGGCTTTAGAGAATTTTAGCTCCTCCTTTGAAAATATTCTGGATTGAGCTGTGCAACTGTTATACAGTTGATCACACAATGCTATGGCATTGGTTGACCCAACAAAATAGAAAGTTGTCTAATTCAGAGGGGTGGGCTGCGGGGGGGTCTGAGGGGAATCCATTAAAACTGTAATGCTGTTGCTTTAGAATTGGACACAGTTTTTACCTGTTCTTTGATGAGGCTTGTAGTTCTTGGTCATTCTATGGACAAGAGGCCACAGCTAAGCCACAAGCCCATGGAGGGGTGCACCTCCCCTCCCCTCCCCACTGAGTTCACCATTGTGGTTAGTTTCCTTCTGCTTAAATCTAGAAATAATACTTAGCAACTTTTCTAAGGGATGTCCATTTTGATTCATCACCAACAAAGCATCGTTCACCTCCATGAAACATTCCGCTCTTCCTGAAACCAACCATATCTCTGAGACACAAACGTATGGCTCAAAATACATTGTTAAAAACAATTCAAAAACAAAGGGTGAAAGGAAAGGTAGGGGGAAAGATGGGAAGGAAGATGCCTTACATATCAACATTTTTACACAATGTGCAAACATGCGTTCTTTCAAGTTGTCTAGTAATGTTGCCTAAATATTTTAGAGAGTAGGTCAGAATTTTCTCTATCCAAAATATTGAGAAAACATTAGAGAGCTCAGGAATATTAAATTCCTCCAAGAAAGTCAGATTACCATTTGGGTTTAAAACTAGGTGTTGTGAATTTCACCAAGAACAGACATGTGGTATTTGCACGTTGGAGTAACAGAATATAACATGACAATAATGTGTTATACTTACAAAGTACCCTTCATCCATGGGGCTCCAATTTTACCAATATAAGTTCACTGATTTTCGCAAAAAACCTGAAAGGCAGAGGGTAAGTTTGTGTTACCCCCACTTTGCAGTTGGGGATATTGAAATGCAATAAAAGAATAAATAATTGGTTATTATTATACTTGGTTAATAATTATAGTGGGAAAATTCAGGAATCGGACAAAAATCACAGTTTTCATCTTCCCATCACAATGAAATTTGACCACCCAGCTTTCCCTTGGGGTCTAATAATATCCACCATGTCAATGTATTAAACACATTTTACCCAGAGTAAAACACTGCTACATGTGACCCCATAGTCTTATGACCCCAATACCAATATTTGTTTAATACAAAAGAAACCTTCCATATTCAGTAGAGCATTTTTAACAGGGATGAAAAACTTAGACTGACAAAATACAACCATCCAACTAAAATCTGGCCTGAAACCAATGCTACTATTGTTCAGTTTGTTATACTTATGCTCACATGTCAACATATGGACTTGTCTTTTAAAATTATTCCAAGGAAAATCAGAATGCCTGAGAAGCAATCTCATTAACAGCATTTTTAGAAGGGTATATTTTATTTCTTTAATTTTCTTTTTTTTTAACTGAAGAAAAGTTAAATTATAACATTATGTAAGTTTCAGGTGTGCATAACTAAAAATCAACACGATTACATACTGCATTAAGTACAACACTGAAAGTCCACAGAAGAGTGTATTTAAACAACCATTCAAGAATACCCCAATTCTCTACAAGTTTCAGGCTAATTATTCATTCAGTGACCAAGTAATCAATATTTATTTAGTTTTCTGTATACATATAAACTTAGCACTATCTGTGGTTTTTTTGAAGGACACATAAGGTGTATTTTACAGATATTTTCACCAACAAACATCATTTTATGAGTCAATAATTTTGGTACAGTGACAACTACTCTGATCTAAACACCTCTGGAATGATCTGATGATTTCTGGATACTCTTGGCAAGTCAGGGATATCACTCTCGAGAGTAAGAATATATAGGCTATTCTGGAAATATTCTCAAAAATGATTGCAGTTCTGATCAAAACCACAATGATATATCACCTGACATGAGTGAGAGTCATTAATATCGAAAGATAAGAAAAAAAGAGTTGGGGTGGTTGTGAAGGTAAAGGAAATTTTATGTGTAGAACCAGGGAAGACATTATGAAAGACAGTATGTAGATTCCCTTACCCTCAAAAACTAGGAATGGAAATGTCATATGACACAGTTATTTTGCTTAAGGGAAGTAAATGTATCAAAAGAGTAGAAAAACACAAATTGAAGAGATATGTGCATTCCTTTGTTCTTGGCAGCATTTATTTTCAATAGTCAGCATTAGGAAAATAATCTAAATGCCTAATGACAGATGTGTGATTAAAGAAGACATATTTAAGCAAAACAGAATACTATGCATATATTTAAAATATCAAAATGCGAAAGTTTGCCATTCACAGCAATATTGATAAATCTAGAGGGCATCATGCTAAGTGAAAGAAATCATAGAAAGAAAATATGCGGTTTCACTCATAAGTGAATTAGAAAGAAACAAAACTAAAGTAAAAACCATTTTTTTCTATTATAAAAGCAAAGGAGTGATATCCAGAAGGCCAAGAGGAATGAGAAAAACTAAAGTGGGTGAAGGTGTCAATTGGAGGATGATAAAAGGAAACTGCTGGTAGTATCTTAATGGTATGGAAAGATGCGGAATTATAGTGCTGCATTCCTAAAACTTAATTTTCAATTAAAAACTTGATTTAAACATTTGGGATGGGAGATGTGTGCTGAAAGTAGATAAAGGACCAAACGTGGTAGCCTCTCAGTACCTATATTGCAGACCATAATGCTCCTAAGTAGAGAGAGACAATGGGGGAAATTGTCTGCCATAGAGGCAGGGGGAGGGTTGGAAAGGGTGTTGGGTGGGGTGTATACCAGGGACACTGGTGATGGAGAATGTGCACTGGTGTGGACGCATGGGTGTTCGATTATCGTAGGACTGAAACTCAAGCATGAAAATTTTGAAACTGTATCTCACAGTGACAATACAAAAAATAAATTGATTTAAAAATAACTGCAAGTTTTTTCTCCCCGTGCCACTGCTGTTTTTCCTATTTATTCGTAATGTTCACTCCAACACAGTTTAAGATCATCTCTTTACTTGTTTTTCTAAGTCTCTCACTAAGATATAAGCTTCACGAAAGCAGAGACTTTTCTGTGCATTACTAAATCCCAGCACCAAGGGACTCCACTGATAGTGGCTGAACAAATGAATTGCAACACTGAACTGAATACTTTGCTCTTTGCTTATGTCTCCTTTGCAATAATCTCTATGCAATATTGTTATCATCACCAATTACTAAATATTGGTAAAAAGATGTAATGGATTTTTTCCACCCAAAGAGAAGAAAACTCTACACATATTCCATGGAATGAAAATTGCCAATCTTCCTTCTCTTGAAGGACACAGGAGCAAGAGTTGATAACCTAGCTCCCTACCTGGTCCTATGAGCAGTTCTATGAACCTGTCTGCTATATGCCTCCTTTTGTTTCCTGAGTAAACGAAGGAAGCTTCCCTCCAAGTATCTTTCTGGTTCAGAAACTAAAGAGACCCAAATAGTGGTGGATCGGGCTGGAGCGATAGCCAGTGGGTAGGGCGTCTGCCTTGCACGTGGCCCACCCGGGTTCAATTCCCAGCATCCCATATGATTCCCAGCATCCCATATGGTCCCCTGAGCATCACCAGAGTGATTCCTGAGTGCAGAGCCAGGAGTCAGCCCTGAGCATCACTGGGTGTGACCCAAAAAGAAAAAAAAATGTGGTGGATCAAATCATACTGATTTTTATGGGTTTTGACTTAACTGCATTTTCTAAGTATAAGCTTATCTCTAAGGTAGCAAGGTAATTTCAAACTAAGCAAGTAGGGATCTGAGAGAGAAGAGCTGGTTATCTAACTATGTCTACAAGCATGTCAATTCTGGACAGACCACAGGTATCATTGAGAACCATCTCTGCCCCCCCCCCCCCCCCGCTTCCTTTGGTCACACCATCAACATATGACAGACAAACAAAGAAAGCTGCCACATCATCACCTGTTTATGACATCTCAAGTCACAGACACTTCACTGGGGTCTCTAAACAGATTCCTTGTTTTCTTGCACATTAATAAATCTCACACCTTCACCAGTCAGATTTTCCCCCCAAGCATCTGAACATCCAAAGAGATTTAGAAGCCAATTAACATTCACGAGTAACAGAGCAATCAACATGGGAATCGCTAATGGGACTGGACAGAATCCAAAAGCGAGTATTAGGATAATAGTGAGTCCCTGACATAGGTTAGGGTGTTAATTCTGGAGGGCAAACTCATGGTATGTTTTCAATCACTTTGCGGGGCTGATGTCACAGTCACATAGGTCTCTTCTATATATGGTTCCTAGCTCCCTACAATATACTTTTAAGAAGGAAAAAAAACTGCAACGAGAAAGCAGGCATTTTTACATCGTTATAACACAACCTCTAGCATTAGTAGTATATATTGAATTCAAGTTTATTTTTAAATTGCCTACCTGACAAAAATGTTAAAATGACATTTTCCCCTCTTTGGGTCGCTAGACTCTCTTCACCTGTTAGCTCTTGTAGCTAGAGGCCACAAAAATAATAGCTACAACTTTCCACCTTGACGCTTCTCCATAACTTTTGCCACTTGCTTGCTTGCCCCTAGATTTTCGCCTCCCTCGTTCACAGAGATACGTGTAAACGTCTCTGTCCCAGCATGCTCAATGTCTGCCTCCTTGTCAGTTTTCCTGACCTACTCTCATAAATATCTCTTCAGAAATCACCACTTCCCGCCCCCCACCCTCCTCAGAAAATCTCTGCTTACTAAGGCTGTCTCTACTGTGACTCTTCCATTTTTCTGCCTCCTCCTCTCTTCACCACAATTCACCTAGAATGCCAATGCTGGGCAGAGTTCTCCATCCCTCCCCGGCCCACATCCCAGAAGGCTTTCCCAGGCCCTTCTCCCACAACCCAAAGTGCAAATAGCTTGACCTTCAAAGCTTTCCCTGCTCCACATTCCCAGCTCCCCTCCCAGTACTCCTGTCATCCAATCGCTCCCATGACCGAGACGCTGGCCCTCATCACAGGACACCTTCCCTGATTAATAGACTCAGCTCAAGCTGGAAAAATCTTGGGGTTTATTTTTCCCCATTTCTGTTCTGTATGTCATTGATCACAGCCTATTATTATTTGCTTCATTCTGCATGGCTTAGAAAAATAAATTTTCTCCAAGGCAGGTCTTTTATATTTTTCCCACCACTTTAACTTTGGATGATATTGAATTGGATAAACACCATTCCTTCGAATGATCCTGATTTTCTGGTGACTCTATTTCATGCATGCTTTTATTACATTCCTTTCCCCTTCTGCTTGGCCATTTCAATCTTTTCTTTCAACACTCCAGTTTTTCCCAGCCCTCTTCCTCTCCCCATCCCCAGCACACACCCATGATCACCAGTAGAGCCTATTTTAAGCTTTGGTTCACTCCCTGAACAGAATCAGCCATTGAGTCATATTCTGCAACCACCAGAAAGTGTGCTAAAAGCATGTTTTGACCAATATCTTTATACAACAGCATCCACATTAAAGGAAGGTTAGCCACAGACTCATACAGAAGAATGGTATGATCCTTCCTGTACCTCTGTGTCAAGCCCAAAACAGGAGCTGCCATGGACACACACCTCTCAGCCAGCACCTCTCCTCCCCCTGTCCTTCCTGGCCCAGGGAGATTAAAATGTTTCTGGGTTGTTGTAATCCAACCAGGGCTGTGCATCCTTCAGTCTCTACCATTCAGTGGGGCTGGCTGGAAAACAGTTTGGTAGAATGCCTGCAACCAAATCCTGCATTCTAAGTTATGGGAAACTCTTACCCATGTGACTCCCCAAACAGGACTACAGACCACCCTGTCCATGGAGAGGGGGTTTCATCTGCCTTTCATTTGCCTCCTTGTTCCAGGGGGAATAGG